TTTTTCTATAATTAATATAATATGATTTATATCATCTAAATATTATTTAAAATGATCAAAAAAATTTTATTAATAAACTAATAATATATCTTCTTATAATTTATCAAATCTTTAATATATAAACATAGTATTATTAAAATATTACCTTATATTTTCTTTATTATATTATTATTTTTTAGATAATATTTTAATAATTTTTAATATTTATTATTTAAGATATAACAAATTTTTTTATTATCTTAATTATATTGATTTATTTTTATATTTTTTTAATTTTATAACAACCAACAAGCTATTGGTTAGTTATTATTTAGATGATTGTTTGTTAATACGTATTTAGATTATATTTTTGGTTTTGATTCATGCTGATGTATAAAATATATAAAGAAGATATAATAAAGAATTAAAACCAAACTATAAAAGAAAATAAAAGAAAATAAAAAAAAAATACAAAATTTATGATTAGATTCAATGATTGGTTATAAAAAAAGAAAAATAAGATCATTTTTTTATAACCTTAATGGCTAGCTAGATATAACCTTCTAATCAAATTAATTTCTAACCAGTGCAACAAACTACTTCTGAGCACTTATAGAAGCAGTTGGATGATGTCAAGCCAGAATTTAAACCAACTTTGTACAAAACATGTATATAAGAATCTTAATAAAGATGATCAGCAAGGCTACCAAGGTTAAAAAAAAAACAATTATTTCTTTGTAAAAACTTCACTTAAATTCTTAAATTTCAATAAAATTAAAACATGATCTCATCTTTAATATTAAAAAAAAAATTAAATTTATATATAATTTAAAATATTACACCTTATCTTTAATGTCAACAATTTGTTTTAATTTCACGTTACATCAGACCATGTAAGGATGCGTTAAAATGCACCTGCGCTAAATGATAAATATTTTACTTATACATAATAACATTTTGTACGTACGTATTACGTGTTTACAAACTACTACGTATAACGTAGAAAAAACTGTATAAATTAATTACGTAGATAAATACGTAAAAACGTTAAAAATAAATATTGTAAATGTCAAAACTTGCTAATACTAGAATTACCAATCAGATAAGAATATTTGGATTTAGTTGTTATAATTATTGATTTAATTTATTTTTAAAACAATAACTTTTATCATTACGTACTAAATAGGTTTTCACAACTTAAAACCTAATGAAAAAGCACGATATTAAAAACTCAAATATATTTATGTATATACTATAAAATTAATATTACAATAGATACGTACAATATATCTATACATATTGTTTTACATATATATTATTAAGATAAGCGTATTTTAGCCTATTCAGCAGAGTATACTATCAATTACGTATTACGTACGTACATACGTACTGCACTGCGAGAACCGGTTTATCCAGGAACAATAATATATATTAAAATATATAATTATTAAGTTGTTAGCCAACGGCTTTGTCCTACAGCAAATAGTTTGCATTGTTGTGAAGAAACCTAAATTAACGTCACAACGCATATACAATATGTTAGCCTCTATAGAAAATAAAAAAAGGTTGTTCTCCCCCATGGGGGAGGTTACGCGTGAAACTTTAAAGTGAATGCCTAGGCCGATTTCTGGCCCCTGGATTTGTACAATTAGCTGCAGGGATTTTTCACATGCTTTCTAATCTAATTTAAACTTGTATCAGTATATACGTTCTAATAGATATACATCGATATGTACAAATTACCTAAAAACTTTAAAAAATACCTTATCAATGAACATGAGCTCATTAAAAGACCTATAAATAATCCTAGAATGGTTAACATTTCTACTAACCTATTTGAAACATAAAATCAATTCCAAGTTCTCTTAGCAACTTGAATTAGGACTAGAGCTTTTCAGCTAAGACCATTCTCGTGTCATTCCTTATTGTGTTCCATTGATGGAAGATTTTCTCATGATCAATGAACGATGTTGTTCTAAAAGAGTTATTCGAAATCTTTTCTCTAGTAAGCATTATTTTTGAGGGGTTTGGAGACCATATCATAAGCGGTAAGAGATTATTCACATATCATGAGGGTGTTAGCCCTTAATTTTTATATTTTACTATAAAATCGCACACACTGAATTACATGTTTCGTGGCAATCCTTTTTTTTTTTTGTGCAACTGATTGAAACAAGATTTATTGCCTCAATTTTTTACATAAAATGAAGAACAATGACAAAAAATCGTAATTGATTATGATTTTGGAAAAAAAGAATGGGAAGTAATTCTTCCTCATATATACATTAATCTGATCGAAAGCATGGCCCACTAAATTTTAACATGCACTGAAATCCAAGAACGAACAACCAAAACATTGGATATCATACGTTGAATAGATAATTTTTGAACACTTATGAACAATCTCGAATTGAATTCGATGCTGCTAACGCATGTACGCCTCGAAGAAATGTATTATCCTTGTAACAAAATAGATCAACATTTATGGACTTTGCGGACTTGCATGTCTGAAGTTTGAATAACCACCAAATCCATAACATCATAATGTAATTATCATAAATAAAAGTTCCAGTCATGCATGTACGACCATCGGACGAAGTAACAATGATCATGAAATGTTTATTTTGTCAAGTGGCTTTTCGTCAAAAAAAAAAGAAAAAAAAATGCTTAATAAACTCTCAGTGCATAATGATAATAATCTATGCCCAAAAACATTTTGGAATTCTATCAAGAAGTTTTATCATAAACTTTAATTTGGAGATATTATCACCAGATAATATCTTATTTATTTTAGAAATTTGTAATTATTGTATGATCGAATATTGTGATCATGATTCACCCTCAAATTTATGGATGTATCTCTCGATAAAATTTGGGGTACCAGATATGCAGTAACTTATCTTTTTACAAAGCAGCTGCCCCAATTTTTTTCTTTGAATCACGAACGGATAAGGTATTAAGGCGCGTGCAACTTGTGCAAACATAATTAGCCAGGCACAAAGCATCCGAAATGGAAAAAAACTAAGTTCAAAATCGCCTCATAATATATTACATACATCGAATAAAGCCTAAAATTGTTGTCATTTTCAATTGAAATAAAATATTTTATAGAGAATGATACAACTATTTCGGTGTCAGGCCTATTTGATTTAACAAATTCGCGAAAAATATCAAAAAAAGAAAAAAAAAATAACGCGTTTTGAATTAGAGAAAGTAAGATATTAGGTGAGTCTGTAACCATGGATGACTGGTGGTTTTGATCATACTAGAAACACCCATTTTTTAATAGTGTAATCGGGTCGATCTTATTTTTTGACATCAAAAATAATCGGCAAAAAAAATAAACATCCGGAATGCGTGATTGTTTAATTGTATTTTATAGCAATTTTTTATTTTATTTTATTTTAAAAGAAATCGGCACACTTACATCAATAGCCACCAAAGATATTTTCTTGCTTTTAATTAAATCATTTATTCTATTTGTTGAAGAAACATGTTACTATTACATTTGTTTGTGTCAATATAATTTATACGGTGTAAAAAAATTACTACACATTTAACTGGTTATGAATGATTTTCTTTGTTCTTCATGTTGAATTTTCTTGTTATTTATTAATCTTTTTTTTTTTATATATATTTAAGCAACGTTTTTCAGGTAATATTTTCCCTATCAGGAAGCCCCAAGATATCCCGATCATTCTAAAATTTCTTCAATCAGCCTAATGTCTCGCTTCTCCTTTGTCATGATAAAATAATCGTCTCAAAAGATTGTAACTCGCAAACAATCTATGACCTGCAAAACAATTCCATGGAACGTTCGATACTTAATTCGCTTTCATCACAGTGCCTCCACCATCATCACGGTTGATTGCGAAATTTTGGAATTAAACTAATCAATTTGTTTTAAAACATCAAGTTCCTTATTTAAATAAATCTTAACAATTACCGGTAAATTGTTTTCTTCGATTTCTTATATCTTCGTTTTATTATTGAAGAACGGGACTGCTTAGATGATGGTGGGTTTGATATTGGTCACACTTTATGAACATATATATATTTTTTTATAAGTTTTCTTTTTACCTAGGTAAATAACTATGATTAGGATAAAAATTACCTGTTATCTTGTGAATATAAATGCGAACAACGTAAAGACCAATTTTTTGCTTTTTTTTTTTTTTTTACATGTATATCTATCGATTTTATTTTTTCAGCACATTTAAATTTTTTTTCGTTATTTTTTTTTCCTTAATATTATCGCATAAAAAGGAAAAGATTTTTTGTTTCGTTATTTTTTTTTATTTCATTTATATTTTCATTTCGTTGTTTTTTTTAAAACCAAAAGTCAGTTGACAAAATCTCGATTACGTAAAAATGTTCATATCGATCATTGCCATTTGCTCATTAGTAAACTAAATATGACATTGTTATTTAAACATTTATTTGAATCTAAGTGATGACGTAAAAATACAGTTAATTAATTGTACTTTGCGTTTTGAACCGCGTTACGAACTCACAATATTAGGCAATGTTCCAATACCATTCAACGAGTTCGTTAATCTGACCTAATATTGAGTAACCGTTATTACAAGACTTGGTAAATTGGATTAAATAATACGTTTAGTATCGTACAGCGCGGACCACTGTGCAAAGTACCCCTATTAAAAAATTTCATGGTGGAATGTAAAATACCCGGGGGATATATCCTATATAAAAAAACTTTTCATATGAAAAATCGCTTAGTATAGTACACCGGGTATTATGCAACTTTTGTCTGTAGATTGTATTATACCGTGGTCCGCGCTATACAGTAATACTTGTCAACTATCAAAAGAATGCTCAACGCACTTATGCTTCGCAAGACTACAAAATTTAATATTAACTACAAATTTACGCTATCCGGTTTGAAATTGCATTCGCTGAATGAAATAATATATTTCTATAAAAATTACCCGTTTTAGTATTCTATTATATATTAGAAAATAATAAAATATATTGGCGTTTTATACCTAAACTCATCCCTCTTACTTGCTGTCATTTGTCAGCTTTAGAAGCTGAACATTTTTATGATCGTCAAGTACTGCTCCCTCGTATTTTGGAAGACCAATAAGATAACTTGAAGGCTTCTGGCGTATGTTGGTACATCACTTCCTTCGTTTTTGTTGCTGGGTAGGTTGTTTTAGCACTGTATCCTTGGATCTAAATTATAACCACTTAAAAACTTTTAACCCGCTGCACTATCAGTACTGAACCACTCTTTCGGATTATTTCAAGTTCCTGTTCCATAAATTCGGCTATCTTTATTTATGTTAAATCCGGATTTAGCCTGATTTATATAAGTATATCGCAAGATGAGAACTTTATGACAAATATATGTCTGCGATAATCTGCGCATAACATATGTAATAGCATATCGATATTTTTGTATGTTACATGGAATCATCATACATTAGCTGACCAACCAAATCTGACGCGGATTAGTCAAATCTGCAAAACTGATCTAATTTTTGTACGTGCTGTGTTTCGCTTTTTATAGAAAACTTTTGTAAAGAACTCCGGATCTAACGAACAGGTTTTATCATACAATATTAATTAAATCTTGCCAGGTCAATTTCGGTGGATCAAATTTATCAATTTAATACAAAGTAGCATCCCTTTGTACGTACGTATCTTCATTTGTTAAAATGCCTTATTGTCGTGTCACTTCCAAGTTTCTGTACTATGAAAACAAAAAAATCATCGCTATTAAAGTTTGTTGTCGAGTATTTATGGTACTTATTATGTGCATTTTGAATCAGGAATTTCTTAAGATTTCTAGGGTTAGGGTGTAGGTTTATACTGGGTGTTTCAAAAGTCCCACTACACGGTCCCTTTTTTTAAAGTAACTTTATATATAGAGACCACGATGATTATCATCGTGATCTAGTATAAAGTTACTTAAAAAAAAGGGACCATGTAGTGGAACTTTGAAACACCCGGTATGAAATAAATTCTACCCTAAAATTGTAAAATTGTTAGAAATTCCAAATTTACCTAAATTCCGTTCCCACTTATACGTATGATTATATCTTTTATTTAAATTAATTTTAATTTGTTTTTTTACTACCTTTTGCTAATAATTTTTTAAACTTTTACAGTAACTTAGTGAATCTAGATATAAAAAATTGGCGAATAATTACTATTACTTTATATAATGTCGAAATGTTGAAAGTTTCTGTTAATATATAAAAAACACATCGTAATGAAAATAAACATTAAAAACCCGCGAACTATTAAACCAACCTTATTAATATTTCTTCTAATATTTCTATAGGTATTTTACTTGCTATTGCTTCTCTTTCAGAATTTGGCTTTGTTATTTTTTTCGTAATACTTTTCTAATAAATTTTTCTAGAGTATTAATAGTTTTAATTTTTCTAGAGTATTAATAGTTTTAATTTTTCTTAATTTATTTTTAGTTTTTTTTTATAACTAGAATTTGTCTAGAGCTTTTTATTATTTTTTTTCTTAATGTTAAGGTGAGGCCTTGCTTATATATTTATTAATTTTGTTTTTTAATTCTTCAGCGACAATGTCAATACAGTTTATTAAGTTTTTCAGAGGTTTTTACAGTACACATTATTTATTTACATACATATATAGGATTAATTATTGTCGGAGATGATACTGAAATCGGATGATGCTGAAATCTGAGGCCTTAATTTGAAAATATAAACCCTACTAAAATTCACCTATGCTCTTTTATTATAAATAAATTCTAGCCTAACTATGAAAAAAAACTGAACAAAACATTCTAAAAAAATAAGTTAAAATTTCAGCATCATTCTTAACAATTATTATTAATATTATATTTGTGCTGTTAGAGAAAAACCTACTATCTGGTTTTCAAGTATATTTTGTGCACAGTTGGTCATCTATCAACAATCTATCATCTGATTTTTTTATTTTTTTTGTTATGTCAAAGTAGAAACTTTATTAAGTAATAGAAGTAATTACATTAAAGATTTCTAAACTATATTTGTGTTACTTATTTAAGACACCCAATGTGATATTATACCTTCATTTTTATATAACATTATTATTAATTATTTTAAATTAATTTTAAACATAGAAAGATTGAAGGAAACCTAAGATGATAGTCTTGGTATTTAGTAAATACAGTTAGTAAGTGTATAGTTTAGGATTAATCAGTTTTTAATAGATATAGTTGGATTTATAGTAGGTATATTGGTAGTATTGAAATTAGATTGAGAAGATAAAGTTAAGGAGTATATTTTTGAATGTTTAGATTTTTTAGTTATATTGCAAGTTTTTTTCTATTGTTGTTAAAGGATGTTATATGGTAATTATATATGTTGATAAAACCAATTTAGAGTAGTATTTGATAGGGCTGTAAAGAAGAATAATGTTGTTTTATAAAGTAATATTTTAACATTGTCATAATGAAATAGTGAAGAGTTCTTTGATAAGATTAAGGAAGTGAGAGTATAGTGAAGTGTTTGTTTGTTATAATAAAATAATATAGATTTTATCTAAAAGTTCAAAAGAGATATTTAATTATTAATTATTATTTGAAATTAAAATTTGAAGAATTTGTTAAAAATTATATTTTTGTTTAGGACATATAAAGAGATATAATATATCTTCAGAAGTTTGACAATAAACACAATTTGGAATAATATATAAGAGCAGATATCATAAATTAAGGTTTTGCATAATAGGTAGATTGTTATTAATAATTTTAAGACAAAAAGTATAAAATTTTTGATTATTATTTAGAGAATTGATAATGTTAACATTTGTTGACCATTTAATCAAAAATGGGTTTTAAAAGGATTTAAGTTGTGATCAAGAGAAAAATGATTGTATAGTAATTATATTTTGTAACAATATTTGAGTTTTAGTAAGTATTATGTAGTCATGTCATTTAAAATAATCAGGAAATAATATTGTAAAGTTGGATTTAATTAAGTATTTAGAGGTATCTTGTTTAACTAAAAGATCAGCTTGATTATAAAAAGAATTATTAGAATGAGATTTAATTTTGTGAAAGAAGATTTTAAAAGATTTTGTTTGAATAAAATAGTAAATAATAAATAAAATATTCCAGTTTTTGATATGTAAGAATTTGTATAAGAAAGAAAATAATTGAATATTTTTTTGAACTAATAGATTGTTAAGATGTATATTGCTTTGTATGAGTTTATTAAAAGAATGAGTAAAAAATAGACAATTGCTTCAAGTTCTGCTCAAGTAGAGTTAGAGTATGAAGATATTGTATAGTTAAATTTGATTTGGATATATGTTTTAAGATCCATCCAATATCAATTTTTGGATATAGTGTTTATGCATTAATAATTAAAGCATCTGTATAGAAATAAGTGTTATTTGAAAGGTTTTTAGTTAATAGAAATAGATTAGTAAGTTGATTTTAATAATGAAAGAAGATATATTTTTTTGAATTATTTAAATTTCTGTGTCAGAAATATAAATAGTTGGTAATTGAGATAATATTAAAATTGAAATTATATATTGTTAGATATTAATAAGTGCATAAATTTTTTGAGATTTAATTCTGTAAATTTCTTCATAGATCACTTGTACCAAAATTTTACTAAAAACATTTAATTATTTCTCAAAATATTACTAAGTAAATCTTATTTATATTCTTAAATAAAGTTGTTAAGCTTATTTTTTTCCTTCTAGGTAGCTAGGTTTTGGGTTCTAATAATATTTGGCTACTAAAAAAAGTACTAAAAATTAAAATTTTGAGTTTTGTTTATTTACTATATATTTTATTAAGATAATATATTCTACTTCTTAGTAAAAAAAATACCAAGCACCTTGTTCTGATCATTTTGATATATATTTTATTATAAACAAACCAAAATTTACCAAGATACAAACAAAAAGATAAAAACTAAAACCTGTCTTTGCAAGTTTTTTTATTGGTATTTTAGGAAAATCTGCTAGATTGCTCTAGAATTTTTACTTTCTTGGTTCTTATTAAAATTTTCTAAACATCTAATTAGTTTTTGCAAACATATTACACTTTACAGATTGTTCTTAAATAGTCTAGAAATTTAGATAATTAAATAATTTTTCTAAATAATTGCATTATACAAACAATTCATATTAATTAAACTCTATAAATATTTTCTAAAAGATAGCTATACAAAATGCCAAGCATTATCAATGTTGAACCTGACTCTTTTAATCTTGATAATTATTTCTCCAAATATAGTAACAGGTTCAGTTCTGTTACTCATAATAATAATATCTGAACTCTTAAAGCTCTATTAATCAATTTCAACTTAACAATATATAACTTACAAAATGGCTTTCATTTCTTTACAAGGCCTACTAAACCTACTATTACTACTTGCCTTTGCAAAAAATATTATACCTATTTTGCCTTACAATATATTACTATTTCACTATTTTTTTAACCTATCTTAGAAAATACTTCAAATTCATTTTTTTTTTTTTTTTTTAATATTAAAGTTTTTGTCTTTGGAGATTAATTTTTTATTCAAATATTTAGACATGATGTCTCCAGAAGCTTCTATACATAGGAGGTTATAACTAGTCATATGTGCACTTTTGGTACCTAATTTAAGTAGTCCACCTATATTACTATACAGGTTTTACACTAAGTGCCATACCTGCAAGCCAACTATAGATCTTGCCTATTTAAACTCTCTGTATATATAATCTGACTTGTGATTATAAGGATATCTTCTGGGCTACACCCATCCAAAGTACCTAATACTTACAAAACCCTTAGAACTAGTTTATCCTTAACAAAAAACTTACTAGAACCTTCTATGTTCTATACACAGCTGATCTAGTTTTATGAAATATGCTATAATTACCTAATACTTATAATCACAGGGGTTACCTGTTTAACCACTACATTACACTATTTTTACTCTTATAAAGTTCATTAGAACTCCAGTACTTATCATTATGACATCTTCTTCATCATCTCTTACTAACTACTACTTAGAACCAATAGGACTTCTCTAACTTCCAATCCAGATAGCCTAGTATAGTATACTTATGTATCCTTTTCCTTTAGCGATTCCAGTGGCCTGGTTGATTATATGTTCCTCTATACATCTTGACATCCAGTTTATTCACCTATTCTTTTGAGAGTGTTTCATAGGCTTCTATTAGTCTGATCATATCATCAAAAGTTTATACTATCTCTTTACTTGGGAATTTCTAAATGGGCTTCTGACTCTTCAATTCCTTAGTTTACTGTGCCCAGTAGTCTTATTATA